ATATATGTAAATATTTAAGATAAACATGTTTAAATCTACTTAAATGATTTTCTATATATATTTTTAGAAATATGTACATACACCTATCTGTATATCTTGTTTTTAAAATGAAGAAATTAAAACTTAGCAAAGTATGTCAGTATTCTCAAACTGGGACCTGAACCTGACTTCAGCACACTTTCTCCAATACAGATCTTCTAAGTCCGGCTCTAGTATCTTTTCTCCACCATATTCCACACAGAAAAGATTCACAGGAGATATGCAAATGTTTTCTGAGTATCATCATCTTATTAATTTATATATTTAAGCTAGACTGTTTTTGTATGACTTGGGCACTTATGAATTTCAGTCATACAAATAATGTGGGGGAAGCAACTGCAAATTTTGAAAATGTGAGGCCCATGCCTTCCATCAAAATGACAATCATCTCTCGATTGGACATTTGTGCAGGACCACATAGTTGCCACTGCTTTACTCAGCAGTGATGTTTCACCATGAAAAGGAGATTCAAACTCACCATTTTCACTGCAGTGAGATGCATCCAGGCCCCTGACACCCTTCAGCCAGGTGCCCTTCCTCAGGCGAGTGTCAGCTTCACCGCAGCTGCTTCCACGCAACCAGTATTCAGAGGCACTCATATTGAAGAGAGAAGACAGAGAATGGCGGAATCTCCTTTTCTTTCTAAATATTCTGGGAAGAAATGAAAGTAGCATGGCGTTTTAGTTACTTTTCTCTCATTACTGAGACAACTACATGACACCCTAAGTTAAAGGGGGAAGGTTTATTTAGTTCACAATTTATAGAGGTTTCGGTCCATAGCCCGCTGGCTCCAGGGAAGGGTGGTACAGGACAGAGGCAACAGTTCATGGTAGCACAGCACAACAAAGGCAACAAGGGACAAACACAGCCCTCTTTTTTTTTGTTTGTTTGTTTTTTGAGGCAGGGTGTCACTATGTAGTTGAGACTGACCTGGAACTCAGTATGTAGCCCAGTCTGGTCTCAAACTCACAGCAATCCTCCTATCTCAGCCTCCCGAGTGCTGGGAATACAGGGGTGCGCCACCACGCTGGGCAACCACAGCCCTTTTGATCCCTATTATCCTACCAGGCTACTTAGAATGGGGAGCACTCACACCCTTAATCCTTCTGCCCTTGAGCCTAGCATTGCACCATGAATCCATCACACATTCTAGATTCAGCCACCTCAGAAAAAGCCGCACCTATGACTGCATGAGGTGTTGGGGACATCTAGACACAAGCCATAACATTGTACCCCTGGACCTCCAAAGACTCATGCACATCCCTTTATGCAAAAAGCATTTAGTCCATCTCCAAGAGTTGCCAAAGTCCTACTAGTTTCAGTATTGCTGAAAACTCCAAGTCCAAAGTCTCCTCTGAGATCCAAGGCAAACTCTTAGCCGCAAGCTCCCGTACAAATGAAAGAAATTAAACACTTCCAACATTCATTGGCACAAGATAAACATTTCCAATTTAAAAAGTTCCAAATAGGAGGATACAAAGGAATAGGACCAAAGCAAGTCCAGACATCCATCAGGGTAAGCATTGAATCCTACAGTACCACTTCCAGCATCCCAGGCAATCTATGGCAAGCTGAGAACTCCAAAGGGCTTGGGTGATTCTGCCCCTATGGCACTGTCTGTGGTTATAGTTCCCATGGCTTCTTTTTTGGCTGGCTTTGCTCCCTCTTTACAGCTTTCCTTGGATGAGTCATGTTCCTGGTTTCTCCAACCTTCTGGGGTCTCCATTGCGACTTTGGTTCCACACCTTTGCACCTGACAGGGACACCCTGCCAGGCCTCCCAGACCTTCCTCTGAAATCTGGGTGGAAGCCTTCTTGACCTCACAACTCTTATATTCTGCATGTACCTAAAACCAGCACCATGTGAATGACACCAGGGTCTGCTGGCAGCTAAAGTAGTAGCCAGGCTTTCTTCTCACTTGGCTGTAGGGGCCAGTGCCTATGAACCAAATCTCTAGAGACAACTTCCCTAGGTTCACCATCATTCTGGAACATGGTGGTCTGGGGCTCTCTTCACAAAGCAACGTCTTTTGCTTTTGCAATTTTAAAGGCTGCAAAGGGTGGATGCCTACTGCTTCTGGTGATGGCCATATATTCTCCTGTTCCTTTTCAGAAATCAAGCTCTCCTCTGCTCTATCTTTGCAGTGCACAGCTTCATCGGAGCTTCCTTTTTGGCCAAACTCAGAGTATTATAAATCATTCTGCTGTGCTCTTTTTTGCTCTTGATTCTCAACAAAGATCTGGCTAAAAGTCCCCATACGTAGCTGTGTCACCTCCTTAACACTAGCCTGCCTTGAAATTTCTTCTGTGAGGTAAATTTGTTCACCAATCTTAATCTCAGTCTCAGGCAAAGTCTCTGATGTGAGCAAAATGCAGACAAACTTTCTGCCAAGCTATAACACACATCATCTGCAGTACAACAGCTAACACAGTTCTTCTTCCCAGCAGAAATCTTCCAAGCCTGGTCTTTACCAGTTTCTGATCTTCTGAGCTTCTGACCAGAATCCCCCACATAGTACAGCCTAAGCTGTTCCAGCTGTCCTTATTCAGGAGCATCTTCGAACCTTTCCAAACTCTTTCCCACAAGGCAGTTCCAAATCCTCCTAAACCACATAGTCAAGTATAATAACAGCAACAACCCCACTTCTCTGGTACCAAATTTGTCTTAGTTAACTTATTTTTATTTCTAAGACAAAACGCTTGACATCCAGAGTTAAAAGGAGAAGGTTTATTTAGCTCATAGTTTGTAGAGGTTTCAGTCCATAATCAGCTGGCTCCAAGGCAGAGAATGGCTTGGCAGAGAAGCATCACAGAGGAGAAACAGTTCACAGCAAGCAGGAACAGCAAAAGCGGCAAGCCAGAAACCTTAGCAACTTTTTTGTGCAGCTTTTATACACTACCTAGGCAACTAGGACTAAGGTGGTGCCAAACCAATCAGTGAACTGATTTAGTAACCACACACTCTTAATCCTAACATCAGACACTCTAGATTCAGCCATCTCTGAAAAAGCCCATCTCAAGAGTACATGAGGCTTTGGTGGACATCTAAACACAAATCACACTGAAATACAATCTAGTGAAAATAGTTTGAGACACAGAGTATGTCTCTAACACCCAAATCTGGCAACTCTACTAATGCTGCAGACGTTTCTTCAACTTCTACTGTGTGCTGAATCCTTGAGTCAATATCAAAGGTACTTTAGTAAAGACAAAATCATGTGTACATAATTATTATGCACCCTGGGAGAAAGACAAGAATCATGTAGATACACAAATGTTTTCATGGTGTTTACTCTGAGCCAGGTAACTTTATTTCTCAGTGCTTTCCATAGGCCAACTGACTGTATACACAAAATTCCTCTATGAGGTAGGTACAATTTTTAGCCCATAGTTTGAGATCAAGAGACTAAGGTCTAGAGAGGTTAGGTTACTTGACTAAGAGGTACGTGATATAGCTGAATTGCAGACTCAGCCTGGCTCCACAGTGACTGGTCTTGCTCACCATGTAATGCAGGGGACGTATACTCTGTGAGAAGTACCTAGAGTCTGCCCTGAGAGACTGGGAAAGCCATCACAATTGAGAATCAAAGGAGAGGGCCAGGGGTGTAGCTCAGTGGTGCTGTGACTGCCTGAGAATCAATCGAGGCTTTCTGCGATAAATGAATTTTAAATTCCCTGAGATGATCTCCTGTATTCACTGAAGAAGGAGTAGGTTTCATTATAGGTCATGCTAGGAAATAATCACCAGATAAAGGAGATTCTTGCCTATTCTGCCGAGGAGGTGAGAATTAATGTTAATGCAATGAAGACCCTCTATGGAAGTCTGTCAAAGGGGAAGGAACTGGTGGGGTAGGGAATGCGATTTGAATCTAATTTCTAAGATTCTTGGTCACAGAAGAGGACTTGGAGAAGGGAGATAAAGGATAGAGGGTCTATTCAAACTACACGGCCAAGTACCTTTTGTTGCATACCTGTCTGGGACATGCTAATCCCTGTGATAAATTCTAATGGCCTAAAACAAAGCCATGCAATGTAAAAAGATATGGGATGCTTTTCCCATTATAACATTGTTTTTCGTCTATGGTGAATCTACAGCTGCTATCAGAAAATGCATTTTGAATGTGTTTTCCCTTAATCTTTAGATAGATTGCAGCAAAGTTTGTAAATTTTTTATCCTGGTATTTTCTATCGGGGTGATACTGGACCTACGAAACACTTAGCAGTTTCTGGGGACTTTGTTTTTAATGTCATGCCAGGGAAGGGGTACTGGGGCAAATAGTAAGTAGAGGCCAGAGATACTATTAAAGTTCTCTAAAGCACAAGGAAAAGCCCACAACAAAGAATCATCTTCTGCAAACATCAATATGGTTGTGGTTGAGAAAGTTTAATTTAATTTTGTCATCAATTTCAGGTAATAGGAAAGTTGAGAAAAATGAGAATTCTTGGTAATGGAACGATATCTTGTGAAAACGAATCAAATTTGAAAGATTCCTGTGTGCTCTAAGATGAGATCATCTTAAATTGAATGAGCAGTAATTAGAAAATTTCTATTTTTTAATTTGTATATTCATTATCTCAATCAATACATCTTTATGAAGTACCTATTATGGGATGTACACTGATCAAATTATCTGTACAAAATGCAGAGATAAAACATAATCTCTGAATATGAGAAACTGAAAAAATGGAAACAAAGTGTTTGTAAGTGGGGAGGAGAGGAGGGGGTAAAGGGAGGGCAGGGACAAGGGGAAAAAATGAGAATCAAGACCTATTATGTAAAGGTACAGAATCCCAATGATGAATGTAACTATATTGTATACCTAGATTGTACCAATAAACTCAATTTAAAAAAAAAAACATAATCTCTGATGTCAAGAATAGTTTTGCAAAGTGAGACCTAGATAAAAGAGGTGCTTAGAAACTTGTTCTCTAATGTTAGACAACTGGAGTCGGGATGCTGGTACCACTCAATAGTTCTGTGAGCTTGAGGAAGTTACTTAACCTCTCTAGACTTATGCTTAGCCTGCATTACAGGGAAAAGGCTATAATATAGTTTAGGTCTTAAGGATTCAGAGCTGGACTTGGAACTCAGATAAGAGTAAGTTATGGCTTATAGCTAAATGTCCTCCCCCGAAAAACCTCATGTCCTCATAGTTGAGGCTTTTGGAGGTGGTTGGACCATCGTTGTGTGACACTGGACTATGGCAGTGTGATAACCAGATCAGTTCACTGACTGAATTAGTGTAGTCTTGAGTGTGGCTGAATGGATTTGTTGACGACAAAAGACCCCCCCCCCAATGTGGTGGCATTAATCAATAGGCTTGTAGTCTGAATGGAATAAAAAAGGGAAAGAAGAAAGGAAGCTCACTGCTTTCTCTCTACCCTGCCATGCATTGTTTCTCCTGTACCATTCCCTGTGTCTTGGATCCAGAGAACTACTGACTAAAAGCTGTACAAACTGTGGGCTGAGCTAAACCTTTCCTCCTTTAACTTGTGGGTATTTAGTATTTTGTTCAAGCAACAATAAAGTAACTAAGACAAAATATATGCAAAAAATAGGATTTTACCCAGCATATAGAAAGTAATTTCACTTATTTAACAAGTATTTGTAGTTACTATTTTAAGATGAAAAAGAAATGGAGTAAAAGTCTTCTAAAGGCAGTATCTAGGCAAATCAGGAAATCCACTTTGCAGCAGCCTGGAGAAAGTACTATAAGTTGAGTAATCTGGAAAGCATTCAGAGCACTAAGGTAACCTAAAAAACTCTGAACCAGAAATGATGGTGGTCTTCATAAAGACAATAGAATGAGGATAAAGAGAAGCACAACTTAAAATAAGCTTGACAGTTGCTCATCTGATCTTAACAATTATGACAGAAACAGTAAACTTCTAACACAGTCTACTCTTCCTTCTTGGCACACAGCTGGACTCAGTCTCCTTGCTCACTGGCCATTAGTTGCAGCCGTGAGAGTCAAATCTTCTGGGGGAATATGAGCTGAAGTGATGTGTGCCATTGCTGAGCTGGATCCTTGAAGTAAGAAGGGAATAGATATGATTTCACCCTGAAGCCAAATTCAACCTAGTCCAGAGTAGATCAGCCTAACCAACCAACTTCCCAATACGTGCACTCATTGTCACAGCTTATGTCACTAAGATTTTGTCGTTGTTTTTTAAACAGTGTTACTGTGCCAATAGTTGTCTGATATAGTCAGCATGTAGTTGATTTTAAAATGAAAGAAAATAAAGTAAAGCCCAAACTCTAGCCTGATGTTTTGCACCCTCTATTCAGCTCACATCTGTGTTCACCCTACTTTTTTGCAGGCTTCTCATTCCCTTCCTTCCCTAAACTGTGCCCCCACCAAGCTGTTTGCATCCCCCCATTGTGTCAGCATCTTTCAGATCCCCGAGCCAGTGCTCTCTCTCTAGTTTTATTTCTTCCTCTATTTTTAACTAGCATCCTGCAATCTTCTAAGATACAAATCAATCATTTCCATCTCTAGGAAGCTTTCTTTCATCTGTTCCTCAAGTAAAACAGGCCTCCCTTCTTATCCCCTTCACTGCATCCCTAAAGATTTCTACCCCAGTGCCCAAATCACTTCATTTTACTTTTCCCATGTAGGCTCTCCTTGACCCTCATTCTTCTTTTGATTTCCACAATCTGGTACAATAAGGAACTCCTTATTAGTGGTTGTTGAGTGAATGAATAAATGATGAATGGAATGGATTCACACGATACCTTGATATAATAGCCCCTACTTACCTAACTAAGTTCTCCTTATACATAACACGAGTCTGTGAGGGGTTCAGTGTTATGTTACCATCTTTGTCACAGAGGAAACTGTCCTCCGTCCATATGTAGTAGCCATTGGTGAGGAGCCTGGGACTTCGGCGACAGGTATGGTGGGAACCTGTTAAGGCATCCATCAAGCAGCATTCAAAGGCACTGTCACCATCCAGGAAGTCACAGGCAAATCTACAAAGAAAAAAGGACAGTCTTTGTAGTTTCTATTCAGTGCATGCAGTCACCCAACACCACAGGTCCAGTCATTGTAAAGGACTTCGCATTCTGACTATTAAATACTTCTGTTATCCTCAAGGGTGTCACTCTTCAGCTTCCTGGTTTTGACATTGACCCCATGACTTTTAGTGCCTCTTTTTATTTTAACTTGGTGAAAACACTGTGGCTTATCAGAATTATCATCAGAGAATAAACCTCGCACTCTTGACATTAGTCCATTTTTTGCATGGGAAACTTCCAAAACAAACTTTATGGGATGTTGAAAGCTTATAGTTCCCTTCTCACATCCCACCTTTCTTTGGATATCATATGCTATATCCTTGCTTTTGTCTCTACAATAGGGAAATCATAAACTTCCTTTTCCTGCCATCTTCCACTGAGAGCCACTCAGCCATCTGAAAGAGCAACTGTCCCTCATGAGTCCTGTTTCTTTCATAATGAAAGTCTGCTGTCTCATTTAACTCAACTTTATGTGATTCTGATCACTTCACTCACAGTTTGTGACTACTCTTCTTCAGGTACTTTCCAGTTTTTGAAGCACCTTTTAATGCCAGGTATGGAACCCAGTCATTTGGGTGTAGCTGTCCAGAGAAGACTGGGACTGTCACCTTCCTCATTACACAAAATCCATGTGTGGGACAACTAAACCTAAGTTGTGGTAGCCTTATTTCCATCTCTCCTTTTCCCTAGTCACCACCATATTATCATGCTATTGAAGTGATTGTCAATTTGTTTTATCTCCATATGCTTGCTCATATCTCCTTTCTCCCAAACTTTTGAACCAATTTTACTTTAGAAAGTTGGTACATGTTAAAGACTAAGAATAAAAGCCTTTTGATCTAAGTAGAGATAGGTTTATGCCTGGAGTTTGATTCTTGATTTTTTGCTATTTGTTAATTGTTTATTCTTCCTAAGCATTAGTTTCCTATAAATGGGAATCTGCACAATGAGTGTTAGTCAAATCCAATCTTATAGGGTTGCTGCAAAGATAAAATGTCATAATTTCATGCAACACTATTAACATCTGTGCCTCTGATACACTATGTGCCATATGTTAAATGTGTGGGCTATCATTTGTATAAGCCCCAAATTTTGAGCTCTTGGAATTTGGTGTGTGTGGGGGTGATTATACCATGTGACAATGAATGTCTTTCATGACATAATTGAAAAATACTGTCACTGGCATTCATATGTCCTTAATTCAAATCATTGATGAAAATACTGAACAGCATAGGCAGAGTCCTGAGACTCAGGAAACACTAGGAGAGACTACTGTCCAGGTATGCGCTGACACACTGACACACCTTATCAGCACATTTTGATTACTGCTCCTCCATAAACAAACAAGAAAAAGAGACTAGTAGAGTGAGTTAATTGTTCAAGATCTAAGGCTTGTGTAGGTAAGAATTTACATCCTTGGGCCTGGGATTTAGTTCAGTGGTTCCACCACCTGCCTTGCAAGTGCAAGGTCCTGAGTTTGATCCCTGGTACAAAAAAAAAAAAGAATTTACATCCTTTGTCTTTCACCCTGTGTTTTTTCTTGTATGGTTTTGCCTCCTTGATAATTAAAGGAAACACTATCAAGTGCTGGTCATGTAGGTGACAGTTCTAGATCTAAGTTTTGAGGTTTCAACGTTTAACAATTAACAACTACAGTCTTTCCAACCCCTTGGGGAATGTTTCCTTTTTAAAGCCCTTAAAATTCTTTCTTCTGTCTTGGTTATAAACAAAATGGAGATCTCCCAACATCCACTTTGTAATAATGAAGAGATTCTTCCAAAATAATATCAGATACCCTAAATGAATAACAAAATTAGATCTTGACTCTCATTTCTATTATGCTATCATAATTCTAGCAGCTGGCTATTTTTGGTAGGTTCCTTTCTATTGATTTCAGAAATCCAACCTCACACCAAAGTCCAGAAATTTGCCAAAGTGCCCAAAGACCAAGTCTTTGCTTGTACTGAGAAGCAACTGACTAGGCTTTGAAAGAGTGTAGAGCTCACACTTCTCAGGATTAAAAAAAAATACCAGTTGTTGGCTTTTAAAATTTCTTGATACAATTTTTTATACTTTAATAGAGTGTACTGTGTCTCTCATCCTTCTCTACATGCTTTTCTGAACATCAGATTGTTCCAATTTAAAAGCGTATGCACAATTAATATATACACTCAAGTTATTAGTAAAATATGATTCTAAAGGTATTATTTACTGTACATTTAGCATGGGTCTGGTCTCACATTTTGCACTTTGTTTACTCTTTACAAATCTTTCTAAAAGCTAAGTATCACTATTCTGCTCTTCATACAGCAGAGTGGGGGAAGAAGGGAGATGCAGAAGGAAAAATTACTTGCATATTTAACATAGCTGGGTATGACAGAGCTGAGATGCAAACTCTGGTCGTTCTGAATCATGAGTTCATTCCATGTGTTCTGCTTGTTTGTCCTTAGCTGGCTTGTTTGGTGGTACTGGGAGGCCTAGAATTTACAGGTAGGGGTGGGTTCTAATATCAAGGCTTCATTCCTTTTTACTAGTACATTTCACAAAATGCTAGCGAAAGATAAGGAATTAGAAAGAAAGGAAGGAGGGGAAGAAAAGGAAACTGCATTGTAGGACTTGAACAAAATGGTACAGTCTATTCGTTTGAGAAGAGGATAAAAACTGGGTAGCTTCTGCACTGGAATAAAACCCTGTGGCTCTTGTCACATGAGATAGGAAAGCATATTTAAGAGAACACAGATTTGAGAAAAAAGTTACCACCCAATCAGTGTTCAATATAATTTGTCAAAGAAACAATTTATGCCTGCCTACATACAGTAGAAAACAAAAACAAATCTGCAAGATTGAGCAAGTTTTTATTTTCTTTGTGCATGGCACTGGAAATGTGTAACCACATCAAGACTAGATGACAGCTAAAATCTTTTTAAACCTGGACAAAGTAGGATATGCTGCAAGGGGATTTGTTTCATTTGATTGAGAAAAGCTCTGTGAGTGCCGGAGATATAGTTCAGTGAAACTGTGCCTGCCTGGCAAAACATAAGGTCTCGAGTTTGATTTCCGGTACAGAAAAGCTCCATAACATACCTTGGAAAAATACATGTGGTAGGCAGTTTGCCAGCACACTCTGTCTAACCTGGAGGAACCTGCACAAAGAGAAGTTGATTACATCTCACCAGCACGCATGAGCATGACAGTAGTGGCACAGGGGAGGCATGAATAGTTACTGGCCCAGCCACAGCAGAAAAATGCCAACCAGGGCTGCCATCCAGGGAACCAGCCTAACTCAGGTCTCTGGTGGAATAACCTAGAGGCTTTGGTCTTCTCTCCCTGCTCACACACAACAGCCCTTTAGAGGTTCCTTAGTGAAAGATGAGGTACTAACTCAGCATTAGCATCAAAATGAGGGGAGGCAACATCTTGGGTGAAGCTGGAGGAAACCAGACAAAGTGCCCAATGTATTGGTTATTGTAGCTTACTCAGAATCTGAGGAATTAAAGCCTGTATCAGTGCATTTCAAGACACTTCTACTGTGATGAGTAAAAGATACTAGTTGGGAAAAGTTTTGCTTTACATGTGATTTTCCAATGTACGAAGCCTGTGTGTATTCTTCATTTAAAAAAGCAAATGACCCACCTATTCATTCCAGTTTAAACACAGGCACAGCACAGACTTTATGTTTGGAGAATTGCCGCTGCTTAACATTCTGAACTATAGCACAGAGTTTCAGCATGGGCAGTGATAGTGTCAAGCTTTGCAATAGACAGGCTCAGAAGGAGCTGATTACATGACCGAAAATCACTACTAAAGACAGAAAAAGAACCGAGACTTTCAGATTGGGATGGCTGATTTGTAGGGAGAAAATTGTGGGTGCAAGAGGGAGGGTTAGAAGCAGGGCTGGGGAGAGAATAACAAGAGGAAGGAAGAAACTTGAAACCACTACCATTCTGACAACGCCCTTGTTTTCTGCAAGTAGCTATCAAAATCATTCAGTATTTTTTTTATAGACAAACAGCTTTGCATCTTAATAGTAGCTGATAAACTATCTGCTTTCACATTTATTCACAGGCTTCTAAAAAATAGGGATGTTTTCTGCTACGAGGAAAAATACCACATTTCTCTCAAGGAAAGAAATGAAGTCAAAATCATTGCTGAGGCGCACATTGGCATTTAAGAAGCACAAGCTACTGACAGATGGTTAATGGTCTGAGTATCAGCGAAATCAAAGCAAGGAAATTGCTAAAAGGCATCTAATCATTCAAAAGATAATTGCATGTAGCACTTCTCTTGCATTTACTCGTGACTGGTGTCGACATCAGCTGAGATATTCGGTGCATCTTGGGAAGGCCGCTTGTTCAAACTTCACAGATTTTCTGCAAAACCCTTGGAAAATAAGATGGACTATATATTAAAAATAGAAAACATTATGCTAAAACAGATGGCATCTACTAATTGCACTAGTCGGATTTGTTTACTGAAATAGTACAGAGCTATAGGATTGAAGGCAGGAGACCAGATTGCTGGGCTTCGGTGAAGTTGCGACTGCCTCAACAGTTTTGTATTCTATTTTCTGCCATCTCACTCAGCGCATCTAAATAATCTTTTTGAGTAAATAGGGACACAATTTCACTTGGAAATGCTAGATTTACAAAGGTTGATTTGACATCCCCATAAAAGAATGAAAATGAATTCTTTGATTATGAAATCTGAAAAAAATGACTCACTGTGGAGCCCCCAAGATAAATTCTTTGGATTGAAATCATTTCCATCACAAAGTAACCTCACTGTCAAGTTCCCAGTGGTACACAAGGCTTGCTGTCTCTTTCATCTCACAATTTGAACTACTGACAGGTATTCACAGAGAGGGGCAGTCTTTCATGCAGTGGGTATAAGTCTATTTTCAGCCTGGACATTCCTAAATAGCACAAGCAGCATCACACTAAAAATGGTGTAACACGGGACTGACTTCAAAACTCAGAGCTCATGAATGTACAGTATACTCTCGTTTATAAATTGAGCACATATCAAAGTATGTAAAGTATATGCACTTTGATCGTTCAGCACTTATTAAATAGATTTACCATTTGTTGATATTGAATTTAAAGTATATCAACATCCTAGCAGTTTTGTAAGAAAGGAGTACATTCTCTTCTGATTCACAATCTCTATCCACTTAAAAAAAACATAGCAACTAGTAATGGATTGTTTTTGTAGCATAATACAACACCTCAGTCAGGTTAATTCTCAAGTTTCACATTGATTATTTAAATAAAGGACATACAAGACTTATTAGGAAATATAGAACTTGGCATGTATAGCCCTTTAAATATTTCAGGAGACCCTTCCAGCTTTCTTTGAAAGATCTCTAAATCAGAGTACACATTTATAACTTTCATTTTTTGAAATAAAATGATACTGTTTACAAACTAATATACTAGTAAGCTACTCGTCATTTTCATTTTCCATGCATATAATGTGAATATGCCCAGCCCAAATTACCTACTAGGTTAGTTTTTCTCAAGCATTAAACTTATTTTAAGCTAACAAATTACGTGGCAGAAAGTAAAATCTTACTGTTATACCTTACAAACACTTTTAGTCATCTACAGTCAGCTGGTAAGTGAGAATCCACACCAGCAACAACAACTTTAGTTACAGCCCTACAACTTTGCACAGAACAGACTCTTTCTACCAGTTCCACCAAAGCAAAACATCCATTGTGAGAAATAATTTGCCCATACGTGTAATTCTTCCAGAGGGAGTTCCCAGTCTCTTCTTCCAATTGATAAATGACAAAGCAATTGCTGAAATACAAGGCTTCCTGTTGTTGGCAGTGGTGAAACTGAGGACAGAGCCTTCAAAAGTGCATTTGGATTGTCAACCGTGCAGGAGTCTCTGGATAAACAGATTCCCCCCCACCTTCTTCTAACAAACACTACGTGCATCCCTGCCTTGAGCAGGAGTTTGCTGCAGAGTTTGATTTTCCACAGCCTCTTGCTCTTTCCTTTGTTTCCTAGAATCGAAGAGCATGTAGTTCTTGAGAAGTCAGACTTCAGCACTTCTTGTTTTCTTTCAAAAACAGGCTGTGTAATCAGAGGCAGAGCAGCAGCCTGAGGTCACGCTTCCTGTTGGGCTCACATCAGTGGTATTCACACAATTCAGCCCATGGGAGAGCTCTGACAACCTCCTGAGCCAGCAACAGAAGGTCTGCAGTCCATGACTCACGCCAGCTGGATACACGGTGGTCACTGGAGACACACTGTTCTGAGCTCCGTCATCATCCCTACCTGCAAGAACACAAGGAAAACGCCACAAAGCAACGCTTCTTGGTCATCATCTGGCCACAGTTAGAGTAATGCATAGCCATGTCCTTTGTCCAGACCACCTAAGTGTTTGGAGAACAATGCTTCGATCCATTTATACACAGAATACTATTAACGGGAACACAATTTTATGAAGATTTCTATAGTAGTAATGAGTTGACCCAATAAAAGTTGGATTTTTCAAAAAACTTTCTGAGTGAACTGTGTATTTTATATTAATAGCTGAGTAGAACCCAAATAATTCAATGCTGTTTGTGTGATTTCAGCTGCTGCCTGCCTCACAAGCGCAAGGTCCTGAGTTCAATCCCGGTACCAAAAAAAAAAAAAAATTATGTACTAGGAACTGTGAGGCAGCAGTAGGTAGTGAATGAGTGCAGGTTTTGCAGGCACACAAACTATTTCCAAGCAAACTATTCGCTGATACTCAATGTGCAGCCTTGGACTTGTGGCTTAATCTCTTTGAGTTAGTTTTCTTTAACTATAAATGTAAATATATACTTCCTTGAGTGGCTTGGAAAGTTAAATGAGATGAAAGAAATGAGAAATTATTGAATCACGAGGACAGATGTACAGAATGTATTCTGTACTGGTTTGTTTTCTGAGAGCTCAGTTGATCAGGTTGGCAAGGAAGGTGACTTCATTCCCTCCTGGGGGTCTCATTACTACTGAGGTCATACTACATGGCAAGACCTTCTGTAGAACCTGACCTGGGGACTGGGAAGTGTTAGGAGAATTCAAATGCTGTTGGGACAGCTCTTTTTGAATGGAGGCTTCACAGCTCAGCCATCCACACTGAAACAGGGACAGAAAAACTGAGCAACCAAATGCTGTAAAGCTCTGAGCCCTGTGAGTGGAGCGCGTTCCTTGACACAGCCCTGGTTCTGCTCCCACTCAACGTCACTCAGGCCATTGTTTGAGGCTCTTGGCTCTGCCCTCTGGGAAGTAAAAGTTTTTCTATCCCACTGCTTGTTTGGTCAACTGGAAAGACTAGAGAATATGCCTTCCTTTAGGTTATTCAACATTTCAACCTACTTTATGCTTTCTAGAAATTGAAAAATGCAAAGATACTTTGAAACTGTGAATTGTCATGATCTCCTTGAAACAAAGTAGGACCTCTTTGGGCCGGAATTCTATTTTTATTTTAATTCCAGCAAATTCCGTGTGTGCATATCCATACCTGTGATTCTTTTGAGTAATATCCACCTCTTTGTGTTTAGTTGCTGGACTTTTGAATTTACCAGATTACCCATTTCTTGAGTATCTGCTGAGTGTCATATAAATAATTTATGGGAACTCTCTATGAAGAAATTTCCAACTATTTGGCTTTATGAGAAGTAGAAGTATGTTAGCTATGTAAATTGTGCTCAGATTGTAAGATCCAGGTGCCACTGAAAGGTAATCTATCCTGCAGATAGTAAGGGAATAGAAGTTATACATATTAATACTGTAGAATAGGGATTATACAGAGCAATACTTGGAGAACATGATAATAAGTCAAATGTGAATTATATTCCAAGAAAAGATTAAAAAAATCAGAAAAAAATGACAAACCAAGATAGATTTTCAGTTACTTAAACTGGCTAACTTTAATTCCTTTTTAATAACAATAGAATATCTCATGTCTAGATAGTGATAGAAGAAAAGAATCCCTAAGGGCTTCTTCTGATTATTATTATAATCTACAATTTCTACATGGCTTGATTCATTGCAGCATTTTCTTTATTTGCCTTTAGATTTGACTATTATAATTTATGTTCTCAGACTTCTTTGTCACTAATGTGTTTTTGTAGGAATTATACTTTATCTTCTGCCCCTAGAATTCCTATCTCTCAAAAGTGTTGTAGATATATCCCTGCTGTTTGCTCAGGGTTTATATTCAGATGGCAAGATTTTGAATTTGTTTTGTTTGGGTGGAGGAGAGACAGAGATGGAGAGAGATAAAGAAATGAGGAAATGGAGTTTAGAGAACGGAGAAATGGATTAGCTTGTGAAACTCTATAATCAAGTTTTAGTAAAAGTATACAAGCTGGGTGGCAAGAATAATATTTGATTCATCTGTGGAATCCTTAGCAGCAAGCTGGTGCTGGACAGACAGTAAATCCTGAATGGATGTGTGTGGTTATGAAATCATAGAGAGTGAAATTGAGTCTTCCCTCAGAGATCAAAATGAATAGATGAACAGGTCTCTGCAAAAGGGGAGAAAGGACTATTAGGAAACACCTGGCATTTTTATATTGATGATAGTTTGCAAAACATGTAAGTTTTGTACCATCGAATTTAATTCTTATTACAATTCTATGAAGTAGAGTTAAAATTTCTATTTACATGTTAGAAAAAGTGAATCAGAGAAGTATCTAGCCCCCAAATATATCTGTAATGTGTCAGGTCTGACAAACAATTCTTAGTGTTATCACAATTCCTGGCTCTGATACACAGTATTATTGCGAAGAAGAGAAAGAAAACAATCTTAAGAATCAATTTATGAGTTGACTTCCTTCAAATTTAAAGTCTCTTATGGTCTTCAAGATACGTTGTGAGGGAAAGACAGTAAGAATGAAAGAAAGAAAGAAAGAAAGCCAGCTAAAGGGTGTTCACCCTCTTCCTGGAATGAGTAGCTCTGTTTAATGTTTTGAATGTTTTTCAAAAATATAAAAGGGAAAATAATCCAATACCTGACCACAGGAGCCTCAGAATGTTTACCAAGGCAAACTATAGAATACAGCAATGCTCATGGTTTTCCATCACTCACCCCACCCCGCTCCAGAGGAAACCTGTTCTGTCTGTATGTCCAACAGTTACCTTGGAGACATTGGTAGTGTTTTCAGGTCATGGCCAAGAGAACAGATACTGAGACAAATTGCAAGTGGCCAGTCTCAAGTGACTTTGCATGATCTTCCTGCTAAAACTTAGGTTGTATCCAAATTATTCATTTGCATGGTAACTACACTAGTAAATGCCTGAAAATCTGGAATTAAGCATATTCTTTATTATGTTCCTTGAACGTGGCACCATACTTGGCACTTTGCAGATGTTCAATAAGTGCTTGTGGGGAAAAATGGAAGAAGAATCATATTTTTGTCAACACTTAAATCAAAACTAGATATCATCAATAACCACAGAATCTGCATAGAAATTTTATTTGAAGCTTACTCAATCCTTCAATCCTACTCTTAGTTAGAATACCTTTTTCTTTATGCAGTCTTCCTTGATTTCTCAAGTTAGAGCAAGTGTATTCCTATGGCATCTACATTTTAACTGATGTATTTAGCTTCCTGCTGTACTTGGTTATTTCTGTATTTATCTCCCCGTCATGGCAAGTCAGCTTAGTTTAAGTACCTAGTTATAAATTCTTGTTTCTATACTATAGCACCCTGTTTCTACCATTAGGTAGGAATTCCATAAAAACTTGTAGACTGCTATGGACTAAATGTGCCCCCTCTAAATGTCTATTGCAACCTTAATCCTCAGTAGGATGGTATGTAGAGGTGGGGCTTTTGGTAGTTAATTAGATCATGAGGATGGAGCCATTGTAAACAAGGTCCGTGCTTTTATTTATTTATTTATTTTGCAGTACTGGGCGTCCATCTCAGGCCCTTGCACTTGCAAGGCAGGTGCGGTGCCACTGAGCTAAATCCCTGGTCCCATGCTTTTTGAAGATGCAAAAGAGAGTACCTCCATCATACGAGGACACACTGAGATAGTGGCCGACTGCAAACCAGGAAGAGAGTTCCGGGAACCAAATCTGTGAGTACCTTGATCTTGGACTTTCCCATCCTCTGGAATTGTTAGAAATAAATTGCTGTTGTAAAAGCCATCCAGTTTACTGGATTTTTGCTATAGAAGAGACTAAGATGTTAAGTGCTTAAACAAAGTATGATGGACAAATACACATGTTTATGGTGTCTCTAATTGAAGGTGTCATGACATGTTGCTACCTCTGTTCTCAAGGAAAACAATGATCATTAAGATATTAAAATGGTGGTTGCTGTTTATTTGCTTGGGTCCAATATTCTGTTACTAACCCTGTCTCCATCAGTATTAACAATCCCTAGCTAATAGAAAACTGTCTCTGAAAGTTAACTCCTAAGGAATCAGGAGTATGAATGATTGGCCAGTCTTTCCCTAGATTCACCTCTCCATGGCTCATTTTTTTTTTCTAATTTATAAATCAGGCAGTATATTCTCAGTTTTGTTTGACGGCTGTACATTGTGATTGGAGATTGGAGCTACAGTCAGTATCACATAGTTGCATTGGATACTCATTATTTTTATTATTCAAGTTTTATATCCTCTCTTTAAAGTAGCAGAGAGACATAGGAGAACCACCTGACTCTAATTTCTCCTGTACCTGCTGGGTGGGTTGTGGCTTGACTAGCAGCTGTGCGGCCCTCTGCCTTGCTTCCCTTTGAGCCCCTTTGCTGGGATGGTTTCTTTCAATGTCCCCCTGGTCTAACATATCACTATCCTCTACTCCAACATGAGTGCAGCCAGATAGGCAGATGGTGTCCCTGCCCAACTCCTGCCACTTTAGACTATACTGTTGCCTTGTTAAGGAAGTAAAGGGTCACTCTGGAGTGGCTAGAATCCGGGAGGAAGGGAACTAGGTCTCTTACTTACATAGTCTAATATTCACAGCAAGTTTTCAATTCTGATCCTTGCTGAAACAGGCCTGTGGCTGCTACGTAAACAGCACTCCCTGGCCACTTCTCCAGTTTGAGTCTAGGAGGGCTCTCTCCTGGTTACTGAGCCCCCTGTACTGTAGCACAAGCCCTGTTAAAATAAGAACTCACTTTGTTGTTTTGGTGCAAACATGCTTGTGGTTTGTTTCCTCTTGTAGCATGGGCTCCAAAGGTTCTGTAATCTATTTGGTATTTTTTTTTTTTTATCATGAGTACTATAAACAGAGTGGTTGTTTCCAAAGAAAGAACAATTCATTCTCAGAGTTGTTAACACCAAAGAGCTCCAGAGACCGTTAGCCAATGACGAACAAAGAGAGAGACCAGCAACTGGTAGAGTCAATCTATGTTGTCCAGCATGAGTTGGT